TGAGAGAAAGGAAGGGGATGAGAAAGGTCTGATGAAAGGTGCGGTTCCTGGGGATCCTGGTCAGAAAGAAACGGGTTTGCCTGTGGAGGAAGCAAAAGGCAGATGCAAAAGGAAATCTGGGGGTGCTGAGAAGAAGGAAGGTCAGGAGGTGGATGCCCCAAAGAAGCGATCCAAAAGGACAAATGCGGAGAAACTGAATGGTGAGATTGCTGAAAAAGAAGTGCCGACAAAAGCAAATTCTAGGAAAAGGCAAAGGAAAGAAGAACCCAAAGAAGAAGCAGCTGGAGGTGGGCAAAGGAAAAGTGCAAGCAAGGGTGACGATGGGAAGGCGACACCCAAGGAACCTGATGATGCTTTTGAGGAAAATGCCTCAAGCAAGGGAAGGAAGGCTGCGCCCAAAAGTCGGGCTAAGGCTGGGAAGACCCATGAGGAGACAACAGAAGATAATGGGAAGAAGACAAAGAGCACTAAAAAGGAAGAGCCAGGCGCAAGCCTGCCAGATGCCAAGAAGGCGCCAAAGAAGAAGAAGGAGAGGGCAGCCTCTGAGGCCAACATTGCAAAACCAAAGGAGAAGAGTGTCAGCAAAGAAGAAAATCATCAGAAATCAGCGGAAAAAAGCAAGTCAGAAAGCACCGCAGAAAGGCAAAACAGCAAACCCCCAGCCAAGACCTTTGCAAGGCGGACATGCCCGGACAATCCGATTGGGAAGGCGAAGTGGATCGCTTTGAGGATGGCGTTTGAAGTGAAAGTGAAACCCCTCCTCAAAAGCCATTCCAAGCATGAGGAGAGGGGTTGGAGATTAACAATTGATCTATATACATCACATGGTATGAACTGTAAGCTTTAAATGTTGTTTTGTTTGTAATGTTTCCAGAGCAGGAGTGACCAAATTCCAACCTTGAAACGCATGTTTTTCGAGATGGTTGGTTTTAAGTTTCATGTTCCTATCTATCAGCCATCCACCAAATTTCCCCTGCCAGGACCCATTCTGGTCTTTCGCAACTAAGTCATGGGCGGATCAAAGGATCGCGGAGGATGACTTCAGAGCAAAGGCCCTGTTAGCAGCTGAGGATTACATGGCCCGTCTTCGGGCCGCTGATGAAATAGTTTTGTCTTCCGGGGTAGGGGTACGCCAGCTTGCTGTGCCTTGCTAGATCGTATCAATCATTTCTGTGTGTACATGCATGGACTCATAAAAAAACCTGATCTTTACATACATGCAAACCCAATATGTGTTGGATGCATCTTGTGACTTCAAATGGCAAGTGCAGCACCCTGGTCATCTTGGTGACCAACTGACTATAGCTGCGATACCAGCTTTCCAATTCGTGGCCCCGCCGCGAGAGATCTTGACAAATCTGATTATATAGCTTCGAGAGGGGGGCTATGGGTGTGCTAGCTGTAGCCTAGTGGCAGTTAGGGGTTGTTGAAGCCTGATGGTGGGAAGTTTCTTCAAACCGTTCTTTTAGAAGCATTTGGTCAAATGGAAAATCAGAGAGTGGATGTACTGCAAAATGCATAGAACATTGTTTTTGAGTTTTGGTCAGGCTTCACTGGGGATACGCTGCTCCAAGTGCGCAGACCACATCCAACCCAGCCCTCCCTCAAGTCGCAAATCCAGAGATTGAAATCGAAAAGCTGAAAAAGGAGTATTTCACAAACGCTTGGACACTGGACACAACAAAACCTTTTGAATAGGTCTTGACTGTCCCTGGTGTTGCATGTTTTCAGAGTTCAGTTGTCAAACCATGGATGCCCCCTGACAGCCCATGCCTTCAATGAGTGCTGATCTCGACCCAAGGTGCCTGATGGAGCAGGTGAATGATTGGAGTACCCCAGACATGTTTACCATTGTGACGTCTGTCGCAAAGCATGCAAGGGTATAGCATTTAAACTTTGCTTTCTGGTGAAATGTCATCATTACATTACAATTTGAGATGACATCTCTCTTTACCAAACTTCACCTGTTCTTTGCGGCAAGTTCCATGCATCGAGCTTGATATACACATTGCATGTTTAAGTCCTTGCTACTTCCCAGCTGCACTTGTTGGCTTCAAGGTGTTGGTAAAATACTGGCATCTTGACTTCAACCTGTTCCCTGTGCACCGTTTAGCCATGTGTCCTAACAAGCCCCAAAAGTTGGATGTCTTGATCAAACGCCTCTACGCCATTGGAGCACCAAAGGCTGGGCCAAGTGCAAGTCATTGGAAAACAGATTCCTGCCAATGGGTATTTGATATTACCGTATGTTATAGCAATGCAACCATTCATGTATATTGATCATATATATTGCCACCCTTTTGCTTCACCAACTATCGTATATACCCAGCTTGCAGTTTCTCTTGGCGAGCATCATCCTCCTCTCCCTCAACAAAGATGTTGAGATTTTCACAGAGGCCTGGCCTTCAGAATGGGAAGGATCTCCATGCAAAGTAGAAACCTGCTGTCGTGTGTCAGTCTGCTGGACTGCATGAGCATCTCTATACCTCTTCAGAAACCAATCAAACATGTTCTTGCAGAAGTGCTACATCAAGCTAAGCTTCTTAACTTGGAGGGTTGACTTGCTTGAGGACACCAGAAAGATGTCAACCTATATCAAAGGGTTTGCCTCTGCCTCATGCAGGCGTATGGCTTTGTGGAGCTATTTAGTGGGGCGGCGTGGACATCCAGGTGCATGCGGACGTCTAGGGTGCCGACTGCGAGCTTTGACATCCAATACAGCAAAAACTCTGACCCAAACAAGGAAGACTGCATGGACTTGTGTTCCCACGCTGGATTTGCGTTTCCTGGATTGGTGTATTTGTGATATGATTTTACAATAAAAACATGGCATGGGGACCAAAACCAGTTCTAGTGCACATGGGATTGACCATTGAACAACATCATCTTGCTTGGCTTGCGCTGCACTAGCTTTCACCGGGACATGAAACGCAGTCATCAAGGTTAGCGCTTCTGACCGTTTTGAATTGCAAGTGGGACAACTTCTTGGTGGTCATTGGGCTGGTATGCAGCTCCTTCGTTACAGTATCTGCCGGCACTCATCGTCGGTGCCCTTCCAGTCCCTATGGTCAAAGTGATGTACGCTTTGTTCGGGTTGGCAATTTGTTGGCCTCTCGGTTTCTTAGCTGGTTTAATGAGAGACAAAGTGCATACATACAGCAGTGGTCTTTGAATTGGGCCACTTTGCTTGGCAGTACACACAGTTCTGGTGCCCCCAACTGTCCACTCAGGGTTTGCGCCTTGCTCCTCGTCATCTCCTGTATGAATGGGTGCTTCATCCTGGAGCAGCCACGGTCATCAGGTTTGATATGGCTGCCACGTGTGAGAAGGACCTTTAGGTTGCTTCCGAAGGTGGTGTGGCCCAGCAACTTCTTTGCTGTTCCAATAAAGCTTCAAAAGAGTGTGTATTTGTTCATGATTGTTGAGCCTATTTTCACAGTAATGTGTTTGTGGACAACCCTGAAAGGTTTACCAGGCTTCCTGGTGGATGGCCCTCTACGGAGGGCTCACACCAAAACGGCACATTGCATATTCAAATGCAAGCACAATTCAACTTTTGGACTTGGGAACTCTTGCAAAGGAAGTCAGGGAATCCCTGTCACAGCATAAGTACCAAAGCTCTCGAACCTACAAGAGTGGAGACAAAAAGGTCTTCTGTGGCACCCGCTTCTTGAAGCAAACTCAGACGCTTGGTTGTACTGTGCAACATTGCATCTCTATATAGATGTAAAACACCAACATTGGTTCTTGTTATTGTGTGATACCAAGACAGACCTTTTTTGTTCAGGCAAAGCTTGCCACTGAGAAACCATCCCAGAACCTTTAAGGGATTGAATAGTACATGAGTGGTACACTTCAGACAAGGTTCCCTCCCACACTGTTGGGAAGTTGGGTGGACCCCAATGTTCTCCAACCCTGCTCGGCTCTGCACTCAGGACCTATCCCCCTCGATTTGCCAAGCGGATCACCAAGTACTTCAGCAGGTTCTGCGAACGTCGGGAAGGGTACACTCCACAGTGGATAGACACTGAACCCTTTAGTGCTTTTGAGATTTTCAAGCTGGTAGCATCCGACACGGAGACGGATACCTGGGAAGATGCACAGTTGACTGAAGTCTTTGTGTACTTACGTGGCTCAAAGAGCCTGGAACTTGGTGAATGGCGCCAGGTTCTTCCATCGACTGTGGTTTTGAGTTCAGGATAGTTCAGGGAACCCATTCCAACATATATTTATCATACAGGTGTGATTCAACACGGTGGACTGGTCCTAAAAGCTAGATTGCCACGCAAGATGGGTTCCTATTGTGGTGCAACCTTTTAATTCACAGATGCTACCAGTGATGTAACAAATTCAATGCCAATCAGAATCTTAGCTCTCGCATGTGGCATCTTGCCCACATCATACATCTTGGCCGTGAAAAACCTGTGCTGCAAAGTTGCAGCGCTTTGAATCAAGATATGTTGTTGTCAGGGTGCCAAAGATCATGACCACATGTGATGAAGGTAAAGGTCACTTATGTAAATTCATGTAAATTCTATGATAGATTTAAGATGATTTTGGAGAAAACGCCAATTACGTAGAATCTACGTAGAAAATACGTAATTTACCCGTAAAAAAACAACCCGTAAAAGTCACGTGGTTTGGCGTAAAAGTCATGTAGAAATGCGTATGAAAATACGTAATTTACCCGTAATTTGGCTATATTTTCATATGAGTGAAAATAAGTCAACCATTGTCATTTTTTGACCAGTTGGATAGTGTTAGATAGCCATGTGTATTGGAACCCAATGCAGTATGACTATAACATCATAAAGATATTCTCACAAGGATCAACCTTGGTCTCCCCTGACACATTTCCAAAATGATTGCTGGGTTAGTGACCCTTTTTTGAGGAAATCCATTTGGGGTTCGGACTGGTTTCCACCACTCTTCGACGTCCTGCCCCGTCTGTGCAGCCTTTGCAGCTGGTCATTTGCCAACGTAGCCTGATAGGAGGCTTCATGTCAGGGAAACGCGAAAGGCCGGTTGTATCCCGGCAATGGAGCTGCAGTGAGTTGGTGGAAGGGCATGGTGAGCTCTTGGCCGCCAAAAAAGAACGTGAAAGTGATGATGAACTTCAACTGAAAATAAAGGACATCTACTTCCTGTTGTGCATATATACATTAATGTTTTTTAGATGGCCAAACATGCTTTGCATAGTTGAAAAACAACAGGAGTATGAAGAAGAACTTGCTCGACTCAAAAATGAAGTGGTACCCCAGCTTCACTAGTCAAAGTTTCTCATTGTTCCCTGAAGTGCTTTGATCGTTTCACTACTATGCTTTTCTTGGCAATGTGGGGGACTGTCTTAGGCCAATGCGGAGACACAACCTGAAACTCGATGGCATTCATTTGCAATCTTCAGTCAGTCAACAAATTCACCAAAGTGTCAGAATAAAAGACAAGTTGTTCTTTCATGTTAAGGCACCAGAGGCGATGCTGCCCAAGAATCCCAAGGGTAAGAAGAAGGAGCCAAAGGGGACTACAACACCTCCTCCACAGACTCGACCAGTCGCTACCCCTGTCCGTCCAGGTCAAGTGCAAAGCTCGTCAGTGCCCTCTCCGCAGGGTGCCTCTGGGAATCCAGCGCTTCAAAAGCGCCAGCGTGGGAAGCAGCCTGATCCGGACAAGGATCGCCAAATTGAGGAGCTTAAGAAGGCTTGGGGGAACAGGGGTGGTGTCACCCCAAAGTCTGTTTGCATGCATGGTCTGATGTAGTTCAAGGGAATTCAACATTGTGCCTTTATGAACTCCTTCTAACCATATGGATTGTTTTTGGATGGACTCCCATTTTGGATCAGAATATTGAAAACAGAAAGAAATTGGTGTCTTGAGTCCAATCTCCTGGCAAATTTCAATCTGAACTGTTTCTGTGGAGGCGGGTGCCAAGATGCAGGCTAGGTTGGAGGCCCTCACTTCGGCATCTAGCAACGACCGGTTTCAAGCTGATGCCAAAGATCCCCAAACCAAGAAGGCTGCTGCTGCGAAAACCAAAGCGGCAGCACCGGCAGCACCCTCCACAGAATCGGAAGATCTCTCTCATGCTGCTAAGATGGCAAAGCTTAGGAGAATGTGTGAGAGGAAGCCGTCTGGAAAAATCAAGGTGCCAGATGATGTTCACAAGCGCTGGGTAGCTAACGAGGGAGACGATCGTGAGAAAATGTTGGAGTTGCTGGAAGACTCAAACTGGGACAAGGACTGGTTTGGCTTCATAATTATTATGATTATCATATTGCACCATCTATATGTATGCGCATGCATGCATCCAGTGGTGTTCACAGAAACATTTATCATAGGATGCCTTCGTGAAAAAGATCCAGAAGTATGTGGCCAAGACAAACAAGCTCACCAAGAAAAAGAAGCGGGGATGGTTTACAGAGGAGGGCATGGCCCGTCAATTGAACTGGTCAAAGTCCCTTGGTTTTAACTGTTGGAAACACATTGCGATCAGGGGTTCCCGCAAAAAGCACTAGATACAGGTGATCAACTTCCATTTACAATTGAGGCCATACATCAAGTCAGTTGTGGCATTTTGCCGCAAGTCTGGCAATGAGAAGCTGATCAAGTGGCTCACTTTCAATTGTTCACTACTATGTCCATTGTACGTTGCAGTTGTTCTCGTTGTGTCTTAGCTAAATTTCTTCCCACTATCCCGAGGAAAGACCGCTACAACAAGAAGTTGGAGAAGTTTCATGTTGTGTTTGAAGAAGGGGACGAATCAGTTTCTGAACTTGAAGAGGTGGAACGTCAGGAGCAAGATGAGGCTTGCACCACTTACAAAGTCAAGACATGTATAGATTCTCTAGCTAGACTGAATTCATGAATTCCTTTCTTGCTTCTTGATACCAACCGGCCGCCTGCATGCTTCAGGGAGCTGACAGCCCGGTGACTTTCAAGTTGCGCGAGAAGAAGACCATGGATCCTCCGGATTTGGTCGGCTCGGATGAAGGCTCTGGGGACGAGTCAGCGAATGAGAAGGAGGCAAAACAAACCAATGGCCCCAAACAGGACCTTCGATGTTGTTGGTATACAACAAACGCTCTGTCAATGTACAAGTGTCTCAAAATCCATACGTTCTTCTTGTAATGCACTTTTTGCAACCCAAAGACATGGTGTGGTTTCCATGGCTTGGCAACAACACAGGAGTTTGAGCGCTTCAAAGCGTTCACCTCTTCGCTGTTGAGTCGAGCTTCCAAGATTGCAGACATGATTTCCGAGCTAGAAGCTGCCACGGAAGCTGCTGGGAAAGGGCCGGAGACAGCTGATGGGAAACGTGTTGCAAAGCCCAACTCCCAGTTCATCGCAGTATTTCTCCCAAATGACCATGTCCTACCATCTGTATTGCGCCAACTCCATTTGTATCCCAGGTTGGTGACCAGTTTGGAAGATGCTATGGGGAAAACGAATGCCCAGCACCAGCAATGCGAGTGCATCAAGGCGAAGGTGGCCAAGTTGCCCAAGTTGAAAGCTGAAGACCCAAAGGCCTTGCAGCCCCTTGGTGTTGATGGTCTTTCAGGTCAACCAACCACATATTGAAACCATGACATGTCATTATGCATCGAACCGGCCCGAAACCCAGGATGTTGAAGGACATCGATGAGCAAGTTCAAAAAACGACCATTGAGCTCCTTGGCTTTCAAATGCTTTCCACTTGTATCTCCTGGCGGCAGTTCTAGAACATACCATGCCTTTATCAGGCCTCATTGCCCCATGATCTCAGTGTTAAATGCAGGTGCAGTTCCATCATGGCCATCGAAAATGCGGCAAGGAGTCTTGCATGAATTTCAAGATCTACTAGCGGTACTGAAACAATGTATGCAGGATAACTGACTTCAGAAAAATTGGTGGTCCTACGTTGATGTTTCACTTCTTAAGGACCCAGACCAAGAACCTCAAGAAGGTGGTAAAAGAAGAGTGAGTCGGAGGATAAACCTCTGCTATCTGGGGTATCAATTGAAGGCATACAAATACTGTGCCTTGCTTTGAAATCGTTGAGCGAGGAGAGTCCGATAATCTGGATACCACAGCTGTAGAACATGTGCATACAGCACGTGAACAGCTGTGACTGGGGTGATTGTCAAAAAGGAAATGGGCAGTGCTTTGAGGGTTGGGTCATGTTCGGAATGGCTTGAAACCTTTTGAAACTCTTGTACTCTTGATCTTCATTGCAGGTCTCAGTACAGTACATCTAACTCCCCAGTGCCTTTCCCAGGGGCACACTATGAATCACCCAGCGCCAACACGGCCAGGCAGATTCAACACTGTCCTTGGCCACCTGGCCCGCTTGATCGGCTTCGGAGCGGGGTCCTCAACCAATGGGCATGGTTTGGCGGCAAGGGCTTTATGGTGATTTGTTTGGGAGGGTTGCAAAGCAATCCAAGCTCAAGAGATGTTTGGCTTTATGCTTTGATACTTTCCACAGTCAAAGCAAAAAGAGCAATGAATCCAACTCAATCAAACCAAAGCAAAGATTCTGAACTGTTGATGTTCCCACTCTACAACCTCAAAAACCAAGTTCATGAGTTCATGTGGCAAACCGTTCATGCATCCCCCCGAAGCCATGGACACGGACTTCCTGATGGAACTTCTCACCTATGAGTGCCCAGTTTCTGGCAAGAAGCGCACTGCTGGAAAGTATGATGTTGATGACCAAGAGCAAACCGAGAAGTCACATGGCAGCATCTTCCACCCTTTCACAAAACAGACCATAAAGCTTATTTTTCTGAATCCTGTTCAAGTTCCACTAGGTTTATTCATTGTTGCCTTAGGAGATTGAAGCCACCACCTGATGTGCCTCAGCCACCTCAGCCAACGCAACCGGAGCAATCTCTCCTTGCAGAGAGTGACTGTATGGAAATGTACCGAGATTACTTTGACCGTGCAACTGTCTCGGGGGAGACCGCCCCAATATCACCCAAATCTCAATGCTCCAGTCCTCTGCCGCAGTCAGCAAAGGAATCTTGCCATGTCAGTAAACAAGGCTGATGTGAGTGTTACTTACTCTTTTTGGGGCCCAATCATTCTTGATCCCATGCACTTTTAATTTTACAATGTTGAAATCTGCCTAAGGATATGTCCAAGATTGTGCAACAGCTGAGTGACCAGTCTGCCATCTTCGATGCTTCAACATATGATTGGTCCAGGTGTCAACCTTTAGGTGTTCACAATCGTTGCCTTAGATTGGACAAAAAGAACTTGTCCTGTGGCAAGATCTTGGCTCATGCCAAAGAACAGGTCAGCGCTCTGCGAGAGAAAGTTGGTGTTAGGTTATGTTGCTTCAAGATTGGTGTGACATCAAATCCTTTGGCTCGTTTTCCACTGTATCTGAACAAAGGGTATAGCGTAATGTGGGTGATTTGGAGTTCAACTAGTGTTGACATAGTTCATATGCTTGAGGCAGCGTTGATCAGTGAATTTGGTCGACATGTTGGATGCCAAAACCAACTGGGGACCGGTGGTGAAGGTGCCTTAAACAAGGCTGACAGACCTGATCCACCGTATTTTGTGTACATTGTAGGCGGCCGAGCCGACCAACATCGTAGGGTGGGGTAACCCTGCGCAAGGAAAAAGGAATGAACATGGTGTATTGCATGTGGCATGTATATAGTATGTAAATTCAATCATAAGCCCCTAGAATAGTAAACCCTCAAAATCTACTCACCTAGTTTTGAGATGTTTGGAGATATACTTCAATCAAGCTATGTGTCCATGTCCTTGCCATGTCCCAAATTACTCTGTTTCCCATTTGTTGACTTGGCCGGCTTGTCTAAGGCCCCTTGCAAGCATGTGGTGGAGCTTGCCCGTGCGGAAGTCAGTTCCAACCCAACTGCTCCGGAGGATTTGAGGTTTTCTCGAATCAGACTAGAAGACGCTGAAGTTGGGGTGCATCAAGTTTTGCGGAAACATGGCCTAGCATGTACGGTCGACATTGACACAGCTGACCTGGGGCCTGGAGAACTCCGAAGTTTCCCGTACATCAGGTTGAGCAGTTGGCTGAGTTTTTTGACAACAACTCGGATTGCTAGACAGTTTTGCGGGGTCAACAGTGTGGAGCGGATGGGGGCAGTCTTGAAAGAACTTTGGAAGCGATTCCGGGTGGTCCACCCCACTCACCAAATCTTTGACATGGCTAGCAGAGGTGTCTTGGATTTACCAAGCACCATACCCTACTTTAGCCATTCTGACGAGGGGCGCACGTACAAGAAGGAAGCGCTTTGGATCTTTAGTGTGCATGGATGCATCGGTCGTGGGACATGCAATTTTTTGAAGACTGGTAAGCACAAAGCACCTTTGTCGCGGAACCAAATGGGGCTCAACTTTGTTGGACATAGTTTGTCGACACAGTTCTTGTATACGACCATGCTCAGGGAAACTTCGGCTGAGCACCCAGAAGCACTTCAAGAGCTGTTGAAAATTTTTGCAGATGATGTTCGTTCATTGTGCACTACAGGTTTTGTGACCCAAGAGGGTTTCCGTTTATGGTGTGTACATTTGGGAACAAAAGGAGATTTACCAGCGTTGGGGAAGCTTGGCAATTTTGACCGCAAGTTCTCCAATGTACCCCGTGCTTCCAGTTCTCGCACGGCATGTGGTGGCATTTGTCCCCGTTGCCTAGCAGGCCAGGAATCTGATCCCAGGAGAGGAATGCAAAACTACCCCTATGAAGATCTGGGTGTGCAGCCTGCATGGAAGCAAACAATTGACCAGTTCGCTCCTTACAACACTCTTCCTTACATCATGCGAGGTGTTCCAGTGCATGCAGGGGCTGAAACAAAGTTCTTCTGCTTTGACATTTGGCATATCTTTCATCTTGGAATATGCAAACATTATTTGGGGTCAAGTTTTGTTGCTATCATTGAGTCCAACCTGGGTGTGTTTGCTGGGCATCGGTCGGTGGAGAGCAGGTTTGGAGTGCTTTCTGAGATGTATCGAAACTATTGCCGCCAAAACAAATTCTCAATGTGGGTGTCGGAGATCAACAGGGATACACTTGTTTGGCCCCAAGCTTCGGCTACCCCGATCGGAAAATGGAACAAGGGCAGTGCAAGCACTACATTGATGTTGTTTTTGGCGTGGTTTTCACAGAACCACATCATTGGGCACACTGAAGATGAGATCATGCTTTTGATTGTGGCTAGGCTCAAAAAGAACGAATCATTTTGGGGGTGTTGGTTGAACAAGTTTTGGATGGAATTATCATTTTGGCAAACTGTCTGTGCAAGGATCTAAGCACTAAGATTTGTTGTCATGCTATCCAAGGCAAACGCCACGATCCCCATCAACAAGGCCTTTTCCTACATGTACAGTGCTGGATATTGGCTTCAGACTTGGAAAGGAAAGCGTGTGGCAAAGTGCATCTTCAATTTTCTGGGTTCATACCAGCGACTGGCGTATTTGACCTGGTCTCAAGGGAAGTCACGGTATCAGTTCATTCCAAAACTGCACTATTGTCATCATTTTGCAGTTGAGCTTGATCGGCAAACTTCCTGTCCTTCAGTACAGTGGGTCGAGAACCCGCTATCAACATCGGTCCAGATCCAAGAGGACTATGTGGGCCGGCCTTCACGGATTTCCAGACGAGTTAGCATCAGGAAGTTGCACAGGAATGTGGTGGAGAGAACTCTGATTTTACAATGCCGAGCTTTGATCCAATCGGATCGCGACAAGAGAGGGATGGATGGATATGGTCACGGTGGGGGGCGTTGACTATCTAGTGATTTTGATGAAGGATATTCAATTGTTCATTGAGTACTTTTTGGAAACAGCTGATGTTTGTTTTGGAAACCCTTCACAAGTGGCATTTCCATCTGTGGTAGCTATCGTCTAGACTTGCAGTGAGCAACGGAGCGCGCAGGGTGTGTGGGAGTGAAGAAGGATGCAGGGTGGACCAGGGATCACCAGGGAGGGTTTGCAGAGGTTTAACCTCGGTTCATGAAGTAGCATGAAAAACACCAAAACCCGTAAGTCATGTATTTTTGAAGGAGGTAGCGTATTTTGACATGTGGTCCCAAGAGCATAGCGTAATCCATGTCTATACCTCAAAAAGCAGAACGAAGCGGCTCTAGGTATATATATGTGTGTCTTGTTGTTTTTAAATAGGGGACATGGAAGCCTTTGGCCAGACTCCTCTGGATGACCTCTACACGTTACACGGTTCCCGAGGTGGACCGCTGCCCCGAACACACCGAAGTGGTGAAGCAGGCGATCGGACGAGAATGTGGGAATGGTCGGCGAAAGGGAGATAGAGATCTACCAAGAGAGGTGAACAGCCCATCCTAGCCCATCCCATATGTACCACAGACCAGGGTCCTAGTTCTGGTCTCTCAACCTCTCTTGGTATATATACCTAGACCCCAGACATGACCTTTGTTTTGATAGGAAAAGACCATGTTTTGGCTCCTATGTTTAGGGGTCAATCAGGTTGGGCTCCCCTTTTTTTTAACACCCCAACCTCTTTTTTTAACCCACCACTTTTTTTTAACCCACCAACCCTTTGTTTTAACCCCCTTCAAAACAATTGTTTTTAACCCTTCAGACCTTTTCTTTTTAACCCCCCCGACCTCTTTTTTTTAACCCCCGGACCCTTTTTTTCTCACCCCCGAGCACTTTTTTCTAACCCCCAACCTTTCTTTTTTAACCCCTGACCTTGCTTTTTTAACCCTTGACCCTTGCCTGCGAGTGCCTATGCCCCTCGGACCACTTACACAGCGCCCACCCAGCACGCTGCGCCAGCCCACTTGCCGTGATGACGCGGGGGTGTCACGCTGTTGCGCGGCTCGGC